GACCCTTGTGAAAGGGTCATTCGACCCCTGAAAGGGGTCGAGACCCGCAGGTTGAGAGCTGCTAACATAGTGGGAGGCTGAGGGCCATCCTCCCTGATACTTTAGAAGAACGCTCAGAATAGGATTTTAATCCAGATTCTGCATTTGAAATTTGATGTCCCACAAGGTCAAATTCGGCAATGTTTCTCTCCCCCAGAAGGACTGTTGTGGGTAGTTCTTGCTGTAGAGTCAGAGTAAAATTGGGATTGACATCTACTAAACTTTGATTCAGATTTGGCACACATGTCTACTCATGACTCAGTGTCTTAGGCTGGGCTTTCTCGAGAAACGAAACTAGGGGTGCTTATACAACACACACACACACACACACACACACACACATGAATGGACATGGCATTCACAGGAAATGACTCACAGTTGTAGAAGGAGGTCAGCTTAAGGTCAGGCAGGTTCCAAGTCCATAGGTCAGATGTTAACCTGGAGGCTTTTCCTGACTCACAGTGTGGCTCTGAGTGCCGATGCACCCAGGTTGGGCACGATGGTGGCTTCAGAAGTGAATGAATTGGTCAGTGGTTCAAGATTGTTACCTGAGAGAAGTCAGAAGCCAAGATCGGCAGGTAAGAAGATAGTCAGCCCCGATGGGTCCCAGGATTGGCAGACTGCTGGCTCAAATCCAAAGAACCAGAGGCCAGCAATCCAGATCCATGATCCAGACTCAGCAAAAACACACTTTTCCCTAGCATCCATTTCTATAGGAAGTATGCTACATCCTAAGAAAACTTCCTATCAATTGTATCAGAGCTAAGACCTGCCTAAGGGGGTTGCTTCCTACCCTAATCCTCTTCCAACTGATTGGCTGCTCACAGCAGATCTCATTATGGAGTTGATTACATCGTGTAAAGTCACACATGGGAGATTACTAGGCCTTATCTGCCAAGCCACTGAGAATCCAGGCCCCGCTAACTTGACACAAACCCTCACTAAGTATTCTAGAGAACACCGGCATGCCCCCTTGAGTCCCAGACCGACTGGAAGCCCAGTGCTTTGAGTTTCCTGTAGAGTTGGCAGAGTCTTGGTGGCATCGTGGTTCTGCACTAGGTTGCGGTCTTCAAAGTTAGCCACTGAAAACCGTGGGAGAACGATTGGGCTTTCTAGTCCCATAAAGAGTTACAGTCTCAGAAACCCATGGGGCCAGTCTGACCCTGTGAGTGGGCATTCGCTCAACGGTAGGGGTTTGGGTTTGGGGAGTAGAGCATGCAGTGTCCTTGTTCAGCTAGGGTTCCGGCCCAGAAGAACCTCAAAGACACTACTCTTCTGGTCTCTTTGGTAAGAAGCCACTGATTAGCATGATCCCAAGGCTTCGCCCTGAGAATTCCTGTACGTTAGACAGTAAGGCATTTGGGTCTTCAGAATAATCTGAGTCAACAGAATTGTATGGAACTAGCCATGGCTCTCTGTGGTATTGGAGAGGCAGATAGATGAGAGAAGATATGCAGACTGGTTTTAAAGAGTGGCCCATGACCAGGGCCAGCACAGAGAGCAAGCAGAGATTCTCTTCAAAGCAGGGGAGGTAGTGGTCAGCTGGTAGCAAGAAGAATGAACTGTTGACGGTGACAGCTACTACTACTGCTAATTTTTTGAAAAACCTCAAACCTAAACTCACCACCATGGAGTCAATTCCAGTTCAATAAGCATCTTTCACAGTAGGAATAAGAATTGTTGTGTGCTCTTCTCTGGGTCTAGCATTTAAAAAAAAGAAAATACGAATTTTGTAGATCAGAAGGAGCTTCCAGAAGGAGGTGGCAATGGGCCGGGTGTTATTGAACCAGGAAGCCTTTCATCAAGAGAGGTACAAGGGAAGGGAAGAGCACATTGCTCACAGAAAGCAGGAATTCCTTAGCTGCAGTTGCAGGGACAGAGGGTGGTCATTTCAAACAGGGGCCATAGAGATAGACAGGAGCTGTGGAAAAACTAGGGTTGGAGTGAAAGTGGTGTTGGGGAATCACAAGTAGCTCTATTTTGATGGAAGTTAGGCTACAGGTAAGACAAGAGTGGTTGAACCCCAACGTTGAGAGAAGTTGCATGCCATATTGATTCTTAAGAATTGGAAGACCATTGCTTTGTCTGCTGTTGAACTGAGGCAGTGAGCAAGGGGACGGGGCAGGGAGGGAATAAAGGCAACCACATGTTGCAGAACTGGATGCAGCCCTTCTCTGGGCTGTGGGTTTGTAGTGACTTCAGCAGGCAGCTTGGTAGTGCAGCCCCAGTGCTCAGTTTGGGTGCCCAAACAATGCCCAGCCTAGCCACGTGGCTCAGCTGAAGACCGTTTCCCTGCGCTCTTAGGCCAGGGGCAAGGACTGGGTATTGGAAAGTTGGCCTTTAAAATAATAATTAATAAGTGATTGCTCTTTAGAAAACAAAACACTTTGTGTTCACCAGGGTCACAGACATTTTTCTTTTCATACGTATACAAAAGATGCGTTCTGTGTTAAACAAGGGAGTATATATGCCAATGTCAAGAGCAGGCAAGAACAATGGAACAATTAGCAGATTCATCAGTTCTTCTGCTTATACTTCAATTCCAAGGGTAAAATGCTAGTTTGTTCAACTCTCTGCTTTATGCCTTGATCACAGTGTGAAAGTGTTGACTAAGCTTAGCTCCCTGGTCAGAGGGTCAAGACCCCCACCTTTTCAACGTGCTTATATGAAATCCAAACATTCATGGTCACTGGAAATTTGAAATCAAGGCACAACTTATGAAACGAATGAATAATTATTTTGTTTATTCAGGATATAAATAGCATTCATGCATTTACATTTTTTTCCTTCCCGATAAGGACTTCAGCCCACATTTGGTCTTTACACTGTTCTCCTTTCAATCTTTTTTTCAGTGCTCTCTCTCTCTCTCTCTCTCTCTCTCTCTCTCTTGCTCCCACATCTCTCCTGCCTCATCTTGTACTCTATTGTCTGCCTTTCTTTCTCATCTCTTCTCTCTCCCTCATTCTCCGTGTGCTTCTCTTTCACTCGCCTCTTCCTTGTTCTATCCTCCCCTCTCTGTCTCTCTCACTCTACTCCTGGTCTTTCCCTCCTCCTGTCACTCACTTCCTCTCATTCTTCTCTTGTTTCTCCCTCTCTCTTCCTTCCTCCTTCTCTCCTTCAGGGAAGGAACGACTTGCTGTATATTGGAAACTCTGGTTGTTGCCCAAGGAAAGTCTGGACCTACCTGCCACGTTCTTTCTTAGACTAGTTCCTGGTCTCCACTTCCTGATTCCCAGACTACATCCATAGCATTTTGGCACTGGGGAGATACTTGTCTAGAGAGGACATGCCTGTCTTTGATAAGTCCTTGCCCCTCGACTAATCCGCAGATGGTCCATGGAGCCAGCTGAGGGTCCTGGCCCAGAACATGGTGACCTTTCCTAGAGCCACCCAGCCATTTTAGTAATTTACAAACTAGCTTGTGTACTTTTGTCATACAAAATTGCACCTGCTTGTGTACTTTTAAGGAGACACCATTTAATATTATATTTGCCTCTGTCTCTGTGAAATCTACTTTGATGCCCTAGTTCTGTATTTTCACACCCAACATTAAAATCATTATGTAATCATTTTTTTAAAGGAGGTTTTTCTGTACTTTCTCTAAAACCATTTTGCATGTCTAGGTGGTCTCTCAAAAATTTCTTGGGAATTGCCAA